TGAACCTGGTGAATAGGATCACACGAAAAGTAGTCGGGTGCCTGAGCGATGGATGATTTACTTTTGTGAACGTTCGACATCCGCTCCGAAGGGTCGTCTGAGCTCACGGCGCGTTTAGGCGGCTGTGGTGAATAGGATACGTGGGACGTTGTTGAGAAGCCATATCTTGATGGGGCTGATTGAAGATACAAAGTTTGTATCAATTTTACAGCAAACATGCTCAATTAATAATACTCAATACAAAGATGTCGAAAAATGTATGGTGTTCTCTATCGCAAGTGTGTCATCCGGTTTGTGAGATCAGATGGTTGCCGCTTGACCATTCGTCTTCCTTCATGGGTCCGTGATTTTGATGATACTGTTTACTCATTCCTTGGTAATATTATTATCAAGTAGGTTTCTAAGTCCAGCAGAAGTTCACGATTGATACGATAGAAAACGAACGAAGATACGGAAATGAAGATTTGCACGCAACATGAGTCATGCGCGGACTCAATTTTCAGAGAAACTCACTGTTGGAGTAGTAGAATACAAATTTGGAATATAAATTGATATGGTATTATTATCATGTTCTATCTCAACATGTATATATATACCACGTAAGTGACATAAACGTGGACAAAACGGAAATCTATTATCAAATAAACATTTTAATAAACATTTTAATCACAGCAAAATTGCTTATTAGTCCTGTTTATATAACATGTTGCAGTCCATTAGTCAAGAGAAAAGGAGATCCCTTGTACTATCATCCAGTCCCACATTTCATCTTGTCTGAGTCTGCAACATAATGAATGTGTAACTCACAAAGACATTCAATCAATTTCTATATATCAGATTCGAGGTCCTTGGTAAATGACATGTAGTACATAATTCAGAATAGAGTTCTTGATTTGTTATATGCAGTCTCACTTGTAATTAGATATAGTTAATTTATTTAAATAATCTATTATATATTCACGCCTTCAATGTTCCCTACTACTTTCACTCTTCCATCATAATCAGTGATAATAACTCTGTCCACATGTTCTACTTGGACAACCTTCTTCCCTCTTTCAGTGTCTGAAAATATCCATCTTTGGATGTGACAGTTTTCATTGCCATGAACTAACTAATCAATTATGTAAATAATTATCAGACATCAGAATGTCGTTTTATCATGTATTAATTTAAACATGTACACTCCCCTGACAAAAGTCATGAGACTGTTCTAAAATTTGCTAGTAAAACATATGAAAAAACGAAACTATGTAACTGGCGATAATTTTGATATAGTTTTGAAGCTAATTGACTGGGCTGTTTGAAAGTAATAACAGTAAAATTTAACATATTATTACAATAAAGTCGTAATTAGATAAATGTAATAAAATGATAAGTATATGCTATACATATAAAAATATACTTTCATATTCTAACCCAATACCTGTTACATGTGAGATTAATAATAATTGTTAAAATTTTGATTATTACTATTTTTTAAAAAGTACACTCAATTATTTTCAAAACCATATAAAATTTATTATCAATTACATAGTGTTTGCAGACAAGAGAGATTTTTGAAAAAAAGGAGTTTTTATATGTTTTACTAGTAAATTTTAGAGCAGTCTCATGACTTTTGTCAGGGGAGTGTACATACAAATATATAAAAGTGGTGTCTGAAACAAAAAATATTTACATAAATAAAGTTTTATCTTCTTGTAAAGGAATTAAACAAACTGTGCTTGTTAATATTTATTTACTTTATGGTACATATAAAATGCACACAAACATTCTATACTAATACTAAATACTGCTTGATTACAATGACAAATAATTATATTGCTGCTGCAGATCTTAGTGTTTTCTTACAATAAAATCTGGAATGCTTTCTTTAGTTGACCTATGAAACCTACACAGAGTCTAAATTTTCGACTTATCCCTACCATTGAACAGGTATTCTGTGTATTAAAATTGTTTGTTGATCAGGCTAAAATTTTACAGAAAATTAGTTGTGATATACTGTATATTATTATTATGCAGTGAGCATTTGTTCATTCCTATCCAAAATTATGGGAGTCAGTTACTTATGCATTTTACTGTAAAGCAATTTTATACAGTGTATGACTTACCACCAGAACTTTTAAATAAAATTATATGAAAGGGTTTATAAACCACGAGATGCTAGTGCAATAAATTTTAAAAACACGTATGACCATAAAGCTGATGATATTAAACTTTGTCTGAACTCGCCACTCAAATCTATCAAATATCTCCAAACATCAGTTCTTAGATGGCCTCGTGCTTTGACATAGATGCACCTTGCAATGAATAAATCCGGTTTAAAGTCAGACAAGACAGAAACTTTATAAATTTAGTAGCTATTAATATAATAAACGCCTACATATATATTACTATCTGGCTGGAGAATTGGATAACAATGTGCTGAAATTGCTGACATGTCAAAGAGGAGAAAGAACATAATAATAAACAATATGATACATAGCCTGTCGATTATTACTGGAAGATCCAAACCCTTTGTATTTTACCTTCCCTCATAGAGCGACCTTTGAGATGTTTTTGTAATTAATATTATAGGCTTTGATTCATTGCTATGTGTTGCATAAATGCAGTCTATACCTGCTAGAGAATATTATGAATACCGCCAAGATAATCATTAAAGCTTGAAAATCGTATATCAGGAATTGCAACATGGGACATCCCGGATAACGAAAAGTTCTTGCTATTGAAGTAGAACTTAACTGTCGGGGAGAAGAACAATTTTTCGGTCTATCAAGGGGAGAGAGTACACAGTATCGGATAAAATAATTTGTCAAACCCAACCTCGACGCTTTTATGGTCATCCAATCATTTATTATATTCGTATTCTCAATTTCTCAGTAACATACAGTACGCTAACGATGGATGGCCGCAGTCATAAATCTTCTATGTCCGAAATTGAACCATAAGACGGAGTTGTGTGGCGGTCATTACGAAGGAGGGCTTTTGTTTGGTGTTTTGCGTATTTATAAATTGCGAAAAAGAAAAACACCTACACACAAGAGATGTCATTGTCAAACCAATGTATTGCATCAACAATGACGAGGTTCTTTTTTACAAACCTCCACAAGTTGAGTACAATTCAACGTAATAAGTGCAACGAGTCTGCGGTTTGACATAATATGGGTACACTCTATTATATCTTGTTCTGTTCCATGTCCACCAATAATTTTCTCACAGCGTTTCCTGATCTCATCATTGATCACGTCGTAATCGGGTTGATCGATAAACCAGAATGTTGCTGTGAGCAAGAACCACCCGATATGCGGAAATTCAGCTACAGAATAGATTGCACGTGTTATTTTCCAAATTGAAACAACATAAATATTGGTAGAAATATTGCCAACCTTGAAGCATGACATCATTTTTAATCAAGCCGAAAAATATGCATGACATAACAACGCTCATAAGATAGCAAGAAATGGAATATACTGTGCCGATGTAAAAGGAACCAAAACAAGGAAAAGCAAAATTGACGATCTGTGATGTCAGCAGGGAAAACGTGAGCTTTCGAAAAAATCACTGACAGCTTTTTTTTAAAAAAATTGGAAACTTACTATCCCGAGAGCGGCAAGAAGTATACCAAGCGCCCTGGATGAAGCAAGCGGTGTACATTATGCGATGCTCAAGACGGAGACTCAAAACCCTATTACATTTTCTTCCTACCTACCTAAGAACGCAGAACGAGTAATGATTCATGGTGAAACAAGATTCCTCTGTTAAATGAGAACGATAGCGAAACGATAAAGAGACGGATGAGGAAGTAAACAGTTATCATGTTATTTTATGTATACGGCCCCAAACTTTGTTCAAGTTTTTTGGGATAATCACAATGGGATACAATGGTAAGATGTGGTAAGCCCTTCACATGCAGATTAACGTTTTGCCGATTTTGCACTAGGGCAAAACAACAACAATAACAAGACTTTTTGCGCGGCCAAACCCCAGTAAGTGTTTATGTTGTACCTTGTAACATGGATAATAATAATAAAATTATGCACGTTCTTTAATCGTAATTATAGTATCCCAACTAACTAACAGGCATCAGGATCAACTTGTACGTCGTATCGAGTGTTCAACTTGGACATTTAGGGAACTTAATGATTACATGTCAATTCTCAAAGCTTAGCATATTTTTACACGCATGTTATCGTATGAAATACTGATGTTGGCGTGAGTGCCTTTTGATCCGCAAACAGTCAAAAGTTTATGGCAAGTTCGATTGCATAACACGTATTGGAAGGTTAACATGTCCCTTAAATAAACGTGGCACAAATCGATTATTTGTTTGACGTTCTCTTGCATATCAACATGACAATAGTATGCACAATAATAATCGAACTTAATTTTCAATCTTAGCATGTGCATGAGATTGGTTATTATTACAAAGAACTGTTGCCATGTTGATGTCAATATCAAAACAAATAATCGATTCTCGTTCTAACTTATTATGAAAAGAGATACTTTTTGGGGGCTGTTGAAATATTTCTGCATTGCATGGTTAGTCGTACGATCTTCTGATTGTCGCTACAAAAGCGGTAAATGCATTTTCTTGTGAAATGATTTTTCGTTGTGCATCGCTCTGTTTTCACATTCCCAAATCCATTTGAGACTAGGGATGGACGCATGAAACGATTTCAAGAGCAGTCCCTGGGAATCTGGTGACTGTAAAGGGGGGAGAAAGTGTTTTTGTGAGCATACTTAACCTTTTTAATAAGTAAATAAATAAATAAATAATTTCTTTAGTTTTACTATATACTACCCGAAAATAAGCAATACTATAACAAAAACGTGTTGTTTATTTTCTGGAACAAATACGGTAATTATGGAACTGAGTTTCTTTATATAGCTCGGAACATTACAGCCCGTCTTAAGAGTTATATATGTTTACTCAAGTTAGAACACTTTCATTCGATATAGACACCGTGGTGTAAATTACAAAGTTATATTTCTGACTAGAAGCTCAGAATGCATGTGCATTACATTATTTCAAGTTAAGGAAATGCGCAATCAGCGTGTAAGGTAATTTATACGATCCTAAGTACAGTGAAAATTGGAATAACGTAAAGGTCGAATATTATAATCCAGCCAGTGCTTTTAGGAAGATTAGAGAGTGTTACTGAAGAGTTAAAGAGCAATGCTGGTTGAGGTTGAATGATTGGTTGAGAAGGGGAAGGTTGATATAGAGTGTGCGCAGTTTCCGAGCTTAGGACGTGCATTTATGGAGGGATAATTCTACATGTTAAACAAAACTAATAAGATCTAATCAAGTGCGTGAGACACTTTGAAGTAACCACTTTATTTGTAATTCGTACACAGGGTCTACACTATTTGTTATACGCATACAGTAATAATAAGCTAAATTGTTACGATTGAAATCGGCATAGGCTGTTGACCAATCATCAATCGTATATAGCGTAAAGTGCTAGAAACAATGTCCCGCAGTAATTCTGCGATATCAGTGGTAGAGACAAATGTCTATTTTGTGTAAAGTTATAATAAATAATGCCAATCTTTTGTTTTACATATAATGGTTTAAGTCGTTATTGTTTTGTATGAGTAAACAACCTTCTTTTTCAAGAGTAATGTAGTCATATAATGTCTGTATACAAAAGCTATCATAGCGACAAAAGAACTGCAAACGCGCGCTGTTGGCAATTCATTCAAAAGTCAGGACTTGCTGCGGGCTATTCGCCCTATCCTGCCCAGATGATTTAAGGAGTAAGTTCCAAAATTAGAACTTTTTTTAAATTCCGCAATAAAAGTGAATCTATGCAATAATGTAAGACAATATGCCATATAAGGATAGGAGTGGAAAAAAGGGGTACGTAAATACAGGTCAACCTTCAGCGCCCATTCGCGTCATCTTCTCAGATACAAACTTTTCGCGGATCAGACGACGAAAGCCAAATATATTAGCTTTGACATCAAACAATCACACTAGCAAACGATGATAACTTTTAAAAGAAAGCATGAAAAAATAACACCTGCACGTCCGCAAGAGCCGTTTCGTCGTGTCCTTCTCAAATGTCAAAGTGTTTTCGTGTCAAAACCTTTCATCAACAAAACTGGTTATCGAAGCCAAACCTGTCACTATAAACCAATGTTTCTGTCAGGGTAAACTGCTGTATGGTAAGTAAAGGAGCAAAGTAACAGAGCGGCGGCAAGTTAACTATTAGTGGTGGCAAAGTGGCAAAATTAAGTGCACACATATAAAATCGAGAGATATATTTCACGCCGTTGCCCATATGCTAATTATTTTTTTTTAGAGTCGATTATTTTAATTGCATCGAAACATTTTCTATTCTCGCTCGATGTGCTGCTACTTAGCTTGGTAAGCGGGTGATAACGTCTATGGACAGCTAAGAGCAGCACAAACACAGGTTTGTAAAACGTTAAGTTTATACTTTGAAGTTGACTAGACGCGTTTTGATTCACTTTTGTAGTTAACGGCAATGTGAAGTCGAAGGGCTAGATTTGAACTTTATGGTAAGTATTAACGAATATTATCTCTATAAGCGGCGAGTATTACACTATTTTACGCCATGCGGCAGTTTCCGTTGCCATGAACTAACTAATCAATTTGTAGGCAATTATCGGACGTCAGGAGAGTAGCTAGTTGGTAGTTAGTTGAATTAATAATCATGTATCTTTTCCAATATGTATATGTTATGTAATTAATAGAATACAAATTAGCCGTCGTTATTATTATTTATTATGTATTATTTAAACAAGTCCAATAAATTATTAACATGGTGTTGGAAACAAAGTTATATATGAATAAAACTTTTTTATTATTGAATAAATAAACATTGGTTGTTGATCTTGTAAAACCATGGTCTTGCATCTTTCTGTTGTGTTTGTTGTGTTTCGAAACAATTGTAATAAAGGTTTGATTTTGTATGTGCAGAAACAATTAGAACTATAAGCCGCAGTGTTTAAAAAACGGTATAGACGTATTGGTCTTGCATCTTTATGTTGTGTTTGTTGTTTTTCGAAACAATTGGAATAAAAGTTTTGCCAATTTTTCGAACAGTCAGATAATGACGTATTTCTCCGTGATTTCGTTGGTGTACGAACATTTTTAATTCTTGCGACGTCGATTATAGTACGCTATTCTTTTACCTTATCCCAGTAAATTATAACTCGGCATAATAATATCAAATTGTGCGTCTTGTCTGTTATCTCACGTCCTTGTTCCGAATAACTAATATTATCAACTTTTTTATGCACACTATTTATGATACGGTGTTATTTCTACTTGGAAATGTACAACTCTTGTGATAATAAAAAAAACACAAACAGATAAAAAACAAAATAAAAAACACAAGTTGCCAGAATGTACTCGCCTAAGTATAATAATGATGTTCGTATTAATCGCATTC